GTACGTACCCTTAATAGGGACCCTTGTAGGTTATTGGGGTTAATATGGAGACTACCTGGCTATATCAGGGGTATATAAGGACTATACAATGGTTATTTAAGGTAATGGGATTAAGGGTCCCTTTTAGGGGTCCCTCCTAAAGTCCTTAGAGTTTTGCCCAAACCTAAACCCTAAACCCTAAGCCCGTGGCACTTCCCTAAACCCTGGGCACAACTGTGATTTTGAAACATGACCACAGAAGCGAAGCTCTTGAAATCTAAACCAAAACCCACGAAACCCTGCTCAAAAACGCAGACCCTAAAGAAGAGAGAGTGATGAAAAAGTGGATCTGCAACTGGGTTCTTATCAAAGGATTTAACCTAAGTATCCATAGTAAAGAAACCACATTAATACTATAGATCCATGTTATGGCAACTTATATAACTTGAATTCTTCGACAAGAGCCCAGGCAAAGCAGGTATCACTGCATCTTGTAGGGTCGTTGTTGGAAGGCTTCCGGGCTTTGGGTTCAGGGCTCAGGGTTTAGGGCTCAGGGTTTAGGGTTTAGGGTTTAGGGTTTAGGGTTTAGGGTTCAGGGTTTAGAGTTTAGGTTTGGGTTTAGGAAACGCGGTTGAGATTCCGAAGCTCTGCAGCGACAGAGACAGAGAGAGAGAGAGAGAGAGCGAGACATTGCGGGAGCTGCTGTACCCTAAGCCGAAAAGCCTCAACCCCAAACCCTAAACTCCAAACCCTGATCCCCAAGTCCTCAACCCACGGACCCTCAACTCCAGGGAGTTTAGGGTTAAGGGTTTAGGATTTAGGGTTAAGCGCAACAGGTGAAGGGGCTATCTTTTAGTAGTTCTACCTGTTGTTGTATCTCTCGATCTATCTCTCGATCTATCTCTCGATCTATCTGTCGATCTATCTGTCTATCTATCTATCTATCTATCTATCTATCTATCTAGTGACCTATCTAGCTTTCAATGTATCTATCTGTCTGTCGATCTATTCCATCTATCGATCTATCTGTCTACCTATCTATCTGTCTATCTGTCTGTCTGTCTGTCTGTCTGTCTGTCTGTCTGTCTGTCTGTCTGTCTGTCTGTCTGTCTGTCTGTGTCTATCTAATCATCTATCTGTCTGTCTGTCTGTCTATCTATCTATCTGTATATTTAGCAATGCTGTAGGAAATAGACCTACGGTGCCGTAAGGTTGGGGTTCAAAGCTGACAGATCAGGCAGGACAGCAATATCTGGGATCGGGCTTCTTGAGTGTTCTGTGTTTGGAGTGGCTGTGCTTTCTTCGAAATGCTTGGGGCATGGGCAACCTTCGGAAAAGAGGGTTGGGGCTTAGGGCCAAGGGGCAAAGATAAGGCCTGCAAGAATCAGTGTGCTTGGACAAGAACCCTGTAGCAACCTTGTGAGGAAATTCACTGGGGCCTTAGAAAGCCGAGCATGGCAATGGTAGCACGCATGGTCGACAGCATGAAGGCTTTGATCTTTCGAGTCTGGTACTGAAATTGGCTGAGCCGGCTTAAGGTTGGTGGATTAAGGCACGGAACTAAGAGCAAACAACGGAAACATGCCATGAAGGTGTGGAACCTTTGTCCCACTTGCGGGGTGCTGAGCAACTGAAGTTCACCTGATGCAAGCAGTAGAAAAATCCTGCGCGGTCCGGCCTGCGGTATCTACGACCACCGTTTTTCTACAAGGTAAGCAAAGTCAGGCTCCTCCGCTGTTTTTACGGGGATGTAAGCAAGGCTCCCACCACAATAGAACCCTGCAAGCCACATGGGGGACCTGAAACAAACAAAGCCACCTACGAGACCTGATGCGGGGTTACAGTTTCGACAATTAGGGCATAGGATTTGGGAACCCCATCTCAAACCCTAGACCTTGAAACGCTAAACCTTCACACCTTACACCATACATCTACACCCTCAAACCCTCAACGATGAATCCCGAATGCTCATCCTCTAGATCTGACTGCCGGGTCGCGTTTGCAAGAAGTCTCTGAGGCCCGAATCCTCGCAGCAGGATTTCACGCTCATCGATTTTCGGATTTCCCAATAGCAGCACAACCGTCAACAACGACAACAGCAGCTGGACTAGGGTTTAGGGTTTAGGGTTTAGGGTTTAGGTTTAGGGTTTAGGGTTTTGGGTTTTGGGTTTAGGGCAGCAGCAGCAGCAGCAGCGGCAGAGCACAACAGCAACAGCAACTAACAACAACAGCAGCAGCAGCAGCAGCAGGAGCAGCCAACAGCCACGTATACTCTCTCCGCGACTATACTATGATTTCTCTCCAACCCTCAACAAAAAACAGCTCTGAGAATTTACTAACGCCCCTGTACTGCACAGGCTTGGCCTCACCCCCGCCGGTTGCCAGACCAGCCTTGTCAGACCCAGAGAAGGTCTGAGGTCTTTGGGGTTTGGAGCTTGGGGCTTTTAGGGTTTGGGGCTCTAGGATTTTCGGGTTTAGGGTTTAGGCTCTAGGTTTTAGGGTGTTTAGGGCTTTAAGGCTTCCAGGATTAAGGTTTAGGGTGTTTCGGGTGTTACAGGTCTAGGGCTTTAGGGCTTTAGGGTTTAAAGAATCAGGGCCTGTGGGTTTCGGGTTTAGGACTGAGAGGGAAAAGTGCACTGGTTGCTTTGGGAGTGAAGGGGTCCTTTCCTTGCGGGGTCCTTGAGATAAGGACCCTGCTACCTGACATGATTTATGGTTCTCTATTGGGGCTCGCGCTTGCTATCTGCTGCCTGAAACTGCCATGTTTGGGACGTCGGCGCGGCTTAAGTCGGCAGTGGCACCAAACAGCCAGACAGGAGGTTCGAACACGAAGGGAAGAATGAGCAAACCCTGACCCCTCAAACCTCAGAGACCTATGGACCCTGAACCCCGGCCCCGAAACCCTAAACTAAGTCCCTACTTTAAAAAAGGAACCCTAAATCCTAAATCCCTTACCCTGAATCCTAAACCCCATACACCCTGAAACCTCAACCATGGATTTCTACACATCCAGCGGACGGGTTTCGGGCTGAAGGTTCGCATGCCTTCCAGTTGCACTCCCAGAATTCCAGCATCAGGCACCCTCCCAAGGGTTCGCAAGGTTTTAGGGTTTAGGGTTTAGGGGCGTGGGAGCGTCTAAGGGTTTAAGGGTCTGGGGGTTTCTGTAATGTTCCGGCTCTAGCCTAAACATGAAACCCCTGAAGTACCTCCACTTCTCCTGGTCCGGTCGCCTCTGCGCACGCCGCCGACGCAGCCGCCACGGCGCCCTCCGGAGAGGAGCCTGGAAATTGTCGCGGCTTCCCAGACCCCCAAAAGGATCTAAAAAATAGATCCCCTAATTAGGGACCCTAACTACTAAAGGGTACTTTATAGGAACCCACTTAGGGGATCTATTCTTTTAGATCCTTTTGGGGGTCTGGGTTGGATTTGGCTTTCAGCATAGGGCTGGCCTGTGCGAGCCCAGCGCCAGGTCTTCTTTGGACATACACCATCATTGGTCCTATGGTACCAGTCCTAAGCCCCCTAGATTCTCAATTTGGGGGGCCGATATTGTCAATTTGGGGCCCCTAGATTGTCAATTTGGGCCCTAAGCCGAGTTTGCAATCTCAGAAATGCCCACAGGAAGAGAGGAGTCTTTAGTCGCATGTGAGGAAGTAGCCCCTTACCCGGCACTGACCCCAACTCCTCCCACCCCCTCGAGACCATGAGACTCAGCGTTCTGAAACCTTCCCAAACACACCCAGGCCCCGTCCTCTTGCCCCAAAGATTGGCAGCTGCAGAAGAACCGCCTGAACTCAACGAAGCATCGACTCTGCTTTGAGGGATAAACCACGCAAGATCAATCAATACATTTGCAGAGGGAGGAAACAGGCCGATAGAGACAAATGTGTATGATCACTGCACGCATGTCAGGGTTCCGGATTGAGGGAACTTGAGATCTTCGCAAGTGAGCGTTGAAGCCTTGTGTCATTGTCTTTCCGTTCTAATTGCTGCTCCGCAATGCTGGAACCACTGCCCCTGGTTCCAACAACCAACAGCCCTAATCCTTTAAACCCGAAACTAAACCCCCACACTATTAAATCCCGAACACTAAATCCCTAAACTCTGAAAATCGAAACACTAAATCCCTAACCCTAAACTCAAAAACCCAAAACACTCAATCCCTCAACTCTAACCCCCCCCCCCCCCCCACCGGTGTGGCTGTGTTCCCAT